GAGGGTCCTGAGGCTCACCCTCCCCCGAGAGGGGCAGGAAAGCCCGGAGCAGCCTCTGGGCCGCCAGCGGGGACCCCTGCCCCAGCTCTGCCCTTGCCGACCCTCTCCCCGAGATCTGCCCATCATTCAGACACCTAACTCCAGGGCTGTCCTACCAAAGTCCTAAACTGCGCAGCCCCTTAGCCGCTCTGAGTGGACCGCTCTGCCCATCCCCCAAACAGCCATTTTGCTGCTCAGAAAACACAAGATGAAGACCTCAGGCTGGCTCAGGCATGGTCTACTTGCAGACATCAAAGCTGGGGATGAGCCTCCCTCCCTTCTGCAAATCCCCTGGCCGCTTTGCTCAGCCCTAGAGAGCTCACTGGCCACCAGATAGAAGTGGTGCCCTTCCCCAGGCATGAGCAACATGAAGGAGCATTCTTCTGGGAGGAGACCTGGATGAGACCAGGAAAGTGCCCAGGGACATAGCCCGAAAAGGCACACCAGACAGAATGGGTCTTCTCTCTTGCTGTGTGTTGGGCACACCTAGGTGTGTGTGTGGAAGTATATACGCACCTGGGGAGGAAATGAGGGGGATGCACACCCGGGAGTGTGTAGAAAGTGCACACCTGGTGTGCGTATGTGTGTGTGCACCTGGAAGGATGGGTGTGTGTGTGTATGTGTGCACATATGGGTGCACACACACCTGGCCCTGTACCTGTGTGTTGGGGCAGGAAGAGCCTACACCTGAGGGCTTCTATATGAAATCGGGAGAAAGAGTATCTGCACCCAACGCCCCTTTGCTGGGTGCTAGCTCTGGGTAACTATGTGTTAGACTTAGGGTGGGTGGTGACAGGTCAGTAGGGCAGCACCTGAGAGACCCTTCTCAGCCCTCAGCGGACAATCACACCTGCATCTCTCTGCTGTTCCAGGGTGCTCAGAAGGAACCTCCCCACCAGGGAGGGCCATGAGCAACTCCACTGAGATCCTGGTAACAGAATCTTACTGGGCTTCCCAGAACTGTGCCACCTTCGGGAGCTGCTTTTCAGGTATTCCTCATCACATACCTGGTGACCATCCTGGAGAACCTGGTCATCGTGGTGACCATCCGAGCCAGCCATCAACTGCACACGCCCATGTACTTCTTCCTGGCCAACCTATCCTTGTTGGAGACCCTCTACACCTCGGTGACCGTCCCCAAGCTGCTGGCTGGCCTCCTGGTGTGGGCAAGGACCATCTCCTACTCGGGATGCCTCACCCAGCTGTTTCTCTTCCTCTCGCTCAGCTCCTCCAAGTGCTTCCTCCTGGCCACCATGGCCTGTGACTGGTACCTGGCCATCTGTCGCCCGCTGCACTACCCAGCCACCATGAACTGGAAGCTCTGTCTGTACCTGGCCCTCAGCGCCTGGCTGGGCGGCTTCCTGGCCTCTTTCGTGTCCATGGCTCTCATCTTCCGCCTCAGGTTCTGTGGCCCCAATGTCCTCAACCACTTCTTCTGTGACATCTCACCCCTACTCTGACACCTCGAAGTTTTGGACTTCGTGGCAGCCCTGGCTGTGCTCGCAACCTCCCTGCTGGTGACCGTGGTCTCCTACGCACACATCCTGGCCACGGTGCTGAGAATCCTGGGATGGGCCGGCCGCTGGAAAGCCTTCTCCACCTGCGCCTCCCACCTGGTGGTGGTGGCCACCTTCTGCACCACCACTATTTTCATGTACGCCTGGCCTCACACCGCCAGCTCCTTCGACCTCAACAAGCTGGTGTCCGTGGTCTACTCAGTTGTGACGCCACTGCCCAATCCCAGCATTTACTGCCTGCAGAATCATGACATCAGGGAGGCTCTGACCAAACTCCTCCGAGCCCCGGGTTCCTCCTGAGTGCCAGCTGCAGGAGGAAAAGTCCCAAATGCCCCTCCTCTCATCTGCTCACAGCCTCCTGCCCGCCACCAGGCTCTCTTCCTCTGCACCAGAGCTGCCAGGAACACAGGGTGCCCACGAGAGCATCTGGACAAGCAGGGGAAATGCCGGAGCTTCCTGCCACTTCTCCCAAGAAGCATGAGCACCTGAACGGGGGACCGCTCCCCAGCAGGGCCATCAGCCAGGAAGAGTGCAGACCCCGGCTCACAGGAAGACCCCTCCTCACTGTCACTCCCTTTACCACCTGGGACATGGCCAGTTTCCATGGTGACCAGCCCCGCTTCCTGCCCTGCTGGGCCCCACCTGCCCTGTCCCTGAGCCCACCGAGATGGCCTCCATTGCCTAAGGTCCGGCGCCTAAGAGCAGATTCTGCAACCAACCTCAGCTGGCTGGACAGTGGACCAAGTGTCCGGGCAAGGCCCGACGGTGCCATAGGCCACACACTTGCCACCTTTTCTCAGAAACAAGAATGTCATTTGACTTACAACTTGACGGGTCTAGTGAGTAGATGGCCTACCCATACCTGGCTTTTCTGCCTCTTCTTTGTTCTCTGGCACTTAGGGGCAGAAATTGGGTTGACCCAGCATTTTCCTTCTTATTGGGCTATTGTCCCTGGTCAGGGTGAGTGCTTCTTACTTGATCCCACTGCTTCCCACACTCCAGTCCCTCCCCTGCAGTGGCCCCCGGTGCCATGTGTTTGGTGTGTGCCCTTGGAGAGTACCCATGTATATCCAGACATGTCGTGTTGCTTGGCATGTGAGAGTTTTAAATTCATGGAAATGATTTGGTGCTGTAAATATTCTCTTATTGCGTTGCTTTATTATTTTGAGGTTCTGAAATTTAGAACTGTGTTGTCATCTTGCTAAATTTAACCTTTTATCATTAAGAAGTGTTACTCTTTTTCTCCAGTAATGCTTTTTGCCTTCCTCTGTCAGGCTTCAAGTCGACTCGGTCTGACAAGTACAGCTGTGTTAGCCTCCTTTCCCTTCTGGCTGCTCGTGTGACACGTTTTGTATCTGTGCCTCTTGGCTTCTGACCACCCGGCTGTCATCAGCTCTGCAAACCACACTTCTGTGTTGTCAGCTGCTCCTTATGTCTGTGGAGAAGTCAGCTTATTTTTACTCCTTTTAGGTAATTGGGTTTCCCCCACTTCCGGAAGCTTTCAAGATCTTCTAACAAGACGTTTGGTGTTTGGTTGCCAGGGCATTGTTTTCTTTGTATTTATCATGCTTGGAATTTGTGATGTTTCTAGAATTGTGCTTTGCCTCATTGGTTTTTGAAAAGGTCAGCACTGTGCCCCTAAACACTGCCTCTGCCCCATTCTTCCACTGCTCTCCTTTTGGTTCCCCACATCCATGTGGGGTCTGTGTGGGGCCCGTGTGCGGCCCATGTGGGGTCCGTGTGGGGTCCGTGTGGGGCGGGCCTGCTGCAGCGTCCCCTCTGCCCCAAGAGCATGTTGTATACACTTGCTTTCTCTCTGTTTTCTTCTGGATATTTTCTTCTCATCTTCCAGGTTACTAATTCTCCCTGGCCATATCTAACCTGCGTTTTTAAGTGTATTTTTTCAGTTCTAGAATTTCCGTTTGGTTCTTTTAGTTTCCCACTCTCCATCACATTCTCAATCTTGTTCTACTCCTGTAGGCATGTGTAAGTTCCTCCATGAGTCTGTTAGTGATCCTCTTGTTTGTCTGTACTGCTCTCTGTTCCTTGCCAAGACTAGGTAGTGTTATTACCATGACCTTTTATAGCATCTTAATATCTGACAAGGTGTCCTTCTTCTTTGATCTTGTTTTTCAAAATGAGTTATATTAGTACTTTTTTTACTTTTCCATATGGACTTTAGAAACTCTTGGGTTCTCTATTACTTTACTCGGGCTGCCATAACAAAGTACCATAGATGGGGTGGCTTAAACACCAGAAATTCGTTTTCTCATGGTTCTGGAGGCTGGAAGTCTGAGACAGCATGTGGGCAGGGCTGGTTCCTTCTGAGGCCTCTCTCCTTGGCTCACAGAAAGCCACCTTCTCCCTGTGTCCTCACGTGGCTGTCCCTGTGCATGTCTGTGTCCTGATCTTTTTTTTTTTTTTAAGATTTTATTTATTTATTTGACAGAGAGAGACAGCGAGAGAGGGAACACAAGCAGGGGGAGGGGGAGGGGGAGAGGGAGAAGCAGGCTTCCCGCTGAGCAGGGAGCCCAATGCGGGGCTCGATCCCAGGACCCTGGGACTATGACCTGAGCTGAAGGCAGACACTTAACGACTGAGCCACCCAGGCGCCTCCCTGATCTCTTCTTATAAGGACACCAGTCAGATTAGATCAGGGCCTGCCCTACTAACCTTATTTTACCTTAATTACCTCTGTAAAGACACCGTATCCAAATACAGTCACATTCTGAGGTTATAGGGGTCAGGCCTCCAACACAGGAATTCGGGGTACAGGATTGTGTGTGGAGCAGCAGTTCTGAGCCTCTGGGGATCTAGAGGGTCTGATGGAAGCTGAGAGGTCACGTCACATCAGGTCACAGTTGAGGAGGTTGTGGAGTCATCAAGAGAGCCTGGGTCCCCAGGCTGAGAGGCTGGGTGGGATATCCACAAAGGTGGATAACAAGATAGCACCATTTCAGGAAGTCCCAGAGTCACATCCGGCAGGGACTGGGAAGGCCGACTGGGTGTGGCAGTGGGGTTCCAAGTACCCTTGCTGTGGAGGGGCCACGGTGAGGGCTCCCCAGAGGGATCTGAACAGTGGCACTGCAGGATGTTAGAAGGTCACCCATTATCTCCTTTCCGGATATCCTGGGGCCCTGGATAATCATCCTCTCCTCTCTGGGCCTCCCCGGTGAAAAGCACTAGACGCCGGGATCTAGAGCATTCCGCGGCCCGTGTCTGGGACACATCGCCTGGGGCAGGGATGAAGATGGGGAACGGGAGAGGGTGCAGAGGGTGGGAAAGGGGTGGAGTGTCCGAGGGAGGGGGAGGGGGAGGGGTGGAGTGAGGATGGAGGTTGTGGGGCGCTGTGTGCAGCAGAAATGGGATGGGGTTGGGTGCCCACTGGGTGATGGAGACGGAATGGGGTGGACGTGTGTGGAACCAGGAGATGGGGTGGGGGGCTGGCGCGGACGGGGTGCAGCGAGGATGAAGGTGCTGGGAAGCGAGAGGGGCTGAGCGCTCCTCACAGACTGCCTCTTTCTCCTCCCTTCCCGTCTCCCGGGGGATGAGCCTCCGCGTCTGCCCGCCCCCAATCCTAGGGCGGAGGCCTCGCGCAAATCCAGACTCTGCGCTCGGGTGCAGGGTCTCCGCCACAGCCCGCTCCTTCCCGCTGTGCCGCGGCCCGTGAAGCGGCCACTCCAGCCCGCGGTTCTGAGAGAAGCCCGTGGCAGGTAAGGCCGGACGGCGGGATCCGAGCGCACCGGAAGGCTGGGGCGGGCAACCGCGGGGCTGGGGATGGAGGCGCCGCGAGAGGATCGGAGGGGCCCTGGAGAAGGGTCGAGCCGCCACCCGGATCCCTGCGCTCGGATTAGGCCCTGCGTCGCGTCCCGGTCCCCCGCCCCATCTGCTCAGCCAAGCGGGGGGGCGGGGGGGAGCATGGCGCGGGGGTGGGGCGGGAGGGAACTGTGCCCTGGGTCCGGGCCTGCGGGGGCGGGGTCTGCACTGTGTCACCGCCGCGCGTCTCCGCAACGCCCGCGAGGCCAGAATCCCCTGCTCGGGCTCTGCCCCCGATGCGCGCTGCCCCAAAGGGTCTGGAAGAGGCTGGCAGAGGCACACGCTTGGTCCTTTCTCCAGACGGTGATCTGGATCCTTGGGGGCGCTCGGTCCCCGAGACTGTGTCCTTCAAATATATCCCCCACCCCAATGTGGCCTCTGGTCCCGCCAAGCCGTGGAGGCTTGGGTCGGTGGTCCCAGGGCAGCCCAGGATATGGGGCCCCCTCCTCCAGGCCTCAGCTCCCTGACCGCAGGGTGTTCACCACCCCCCATTCTTTGCTCCCACTTCAGCCCCAGGCACAGAATAACCCCCAGGTGCTCAACCCTCTCACCCTTCAACTCAACCCTTACTCGTCACTGAACAAGACTCCCACCCTCTATCCAGGCCTGAATGCCTAATCCTCCCAGCCCACCCAGGCCCCGAGCCGGTAGTCCAGATGCTGGGGGCCCCTGTACTGCCAAATGCTGAGTCTCCTGTCCCCAAGCCCTGAGCCCGTTGGTCCCCCAGGCCTGTGTCCAGGCCGAGCCCCCTGGTCCCTAAGCCCCCTGTCCCAGAGCCCATGAGCTCTTGTCCCCAGGCCCTGAGCCCCTGGCCCCGAGTCCTCTGGTCCCGTGATCCTCACAGAAGCTGAGGTCGTTTCCGCGTTTTACCGCAGGTTTGCTCCGCAAAGATGAACTGGACGGCCGCGACTTGCTGGGCTCTGCTGCTAGCCGCCACCTTCCTCTGCGACAGCGGCGCGGCCAAGGGTGGCCGTGGAGGGGCTCGCGGCAGCGCCCGGGGAGGGCTGCGCGGGGGCGCGCGCGGGGCCCCGAGGGTGCGCGTGAGGCCGGCGCCTCGCTACGCGGGCTCCTCCCTGCGCGTGGCGGCGGCCGGGGCGGCGGCCGGGGCGGCCGCGGGCCTGGCCGCGGGCTCCAGCTGGAGAAGGGCCACGGGCCCCGGGGAGCGCGACCTGGAGGACGACGAGGACGCGGCACCGGGCGGCAACCGGACGGGCCAAGGCTTCTACAGCTACCGGGCATGGACTTCGGGCGTGGGGCCCACCAGCAGCCCGTGCCTCTGCCAGCTGCTGGGCGGCGCTCTGGGCGCCCTGGGGCTGCTGCGGCCGTAGGCCGGCCGGGCTCGAGGCCAGATCTGGCCCCCCGCCGGCGCCCTCCCCGCAGGCCTCTCCGGCCGGCCCCTGAGACCGCCAGCCGCCGAGCGCCCTTTCCCACCGCTGCCCACCGCCTCCGACCCAGAGAGCCTGTTGTACCTCTCACGCACCCGGAGGCTGCGTCCTGTTCTCCGCCCTGCCCAAGTCCCTCTCCAGCCTCCCCATTTCCCACCCGACCAGAGGACCAGGGCCCATCAGTTCCAGGATGCCCCACCTACCGCCTGGAGGTCAGGGTCCTCCCCAGCCAGAAAGGCAGGTGCCTGTGCTGCCACCCTGGCCAGCAGCCACCGTCTCTCCCGAGCTGCCCAGAGAGATGTGCCAAACCAGGATGTTCAAGCCATTCTGGCTCCCCTGACCCCATCCCGGACACTTGAGGAGTATGGACAGTGCTGACCACCAGGCAAAGAGGTGGGCCCTGAGGACCCTGGGGCCCTCCCCACTGAAGCAGCCAGAATGGACCAAAGGACTAGTGGCTCTGGGGAAGAAGAGAGGTTTCTCTCACAGGTTGTGCTGTGCCTACCACCCTCCAGAAGAGGCAGTCTGGGGATTTCGGGGCCCAGAGCACCCCTGCCCCACAGCTGACCCACAGCCTTGCCAGCCCCCCCTCAGGCCCAGAGGCGCGCCCCCTCCCTGGGCACCCTCAAGACTAGGGGCCTCTTGCGGCCACTTTGCTCCCGCTTGAAACAAGTCACTCTCCTTGGGACCTATTTTGGGGGGAAAACCACATTGTTTAAATTTCAAGAGCTTTTCATTTCCGTTGAGGTTTAGGTTCACATTCTGGAATCAGTGCTCGCTGGTCCTCAGGGATGGCATGGCCACTCCCCATAAGAGCCCTCCCCAGGGACAGCCTGCTTTTGCTTCAAGCAGATCTGTAGTTGGCGCCTTCCCCCCCCCCTCCGCCCGAAGGAGAGGGCAAGGTGTGAATGGTGTGAATGCGCAGGTCAGATCTCAAGTCAGAACCAGCAACCAACACGGCCACAAGGCAGGTCCCTGGAGGTGGGCAGCAGCGGCCAGGGGCCGGCCCAGCACCCAGCAAACACAGACAGATGTGAGAGTATTGGGCTCAGCAAAAGAAGCCGGGAAGCTGAGCCCCCTCCAACAGCTGTCTGAGCATCTGAGGCTGGTCTGGGGACAGGAGAGACCCCCAGAGAGGCCTCTAAGGAAATGCCGGGCGGGCCTTGCAAGGGTTTGCCTCTGGCACCCAAGCACCCTCTGCAGAAAGCCAGCCCTTTGCTCGTCAGGCACCCAGAGGCCCATTTCCCTCGAGCCTCAGGCCTGGGTCACAGTCTGTGAGCTCAGCCCTGGAGGCCTTGGCTCCTTACCACATCCTCCACCCCACATCCCACAGCAGGACCATGTCCCAGGCCTGGATCCTCTGGATCTCTCCCTCCTTCGGTGCTCACTGAAAGCCTCACCTGCTGCTGGGCTGCCTTCCAGAATATGCCCTCACACCCACCCCCAGCCCCCAGACCATGGGGCCTTTGGACTCAGCTGATGGACACCAGCACCTCCCGGGGGCGGGGGGGGGGCCGGGAGGACCTGCAACCTCTGCTCTCCCACAGCTGACACCCAGGTCTGGTTAGGGTGAGGGTCTCCAAGCTACCAGCAGACCCCTGGACCAAGCATCTCTCTCCAAAGACCAGGACCCAGAGCTGCAGGACACAGCTCCCTGCATCCACCTGTACTCACAGTGCCGGCAGACTCGGGGTACAGCAAGCCCAGTGCCCCTCCCTCCGTTCCAGACCAAAGACCAGCAGGCTGTGGCCTCGTGGGCAGTGTGGCCATTCTGCCACCGCACCTGCAGGCAGGAGAGTCTGCACAGGGACTCGGGTCTACCTGAGGGGCCGGGGCGTGGGCCAGCCTCTCCTGCACGCTCACAGGCCGCACGGCACCACGTGGTGGGTGGGGCAGAAACAGCATTCTCAAGTCAGGAGTTTATTTCACACACCAACCTGATTCCGGGAGTGTGTCTGGCCTTTGGCACCAACACACGCTTGAGTTCTTCCCACTCTACCTGTCAGGGCCAGCAGGAAGCAGACAGTGCCCGGGGCAGGTAATCTCAGGAGAGGTCAGTGTGTGGGCACCTTCAGGAGGGGAGGTGCCCTGCGGAAACTCAGGTGTTTCCAGGAAGGCCAGGCCCCCACTGGACACAGAAGAGGCGAAGCAGCTGACCAGGTCCACCCCCACCCCCTTTCCTTCCTCTGCCCTTTGCTGGAACGCAGCCTGCTAGGTCAAGTTCCCCGGGGAAGAGTCCCACTGTCCTGTTAGCTAGAAGGTGCTCGGAGGCAGTGGGAGGCTCTGGAGTCCCCACTGACCACACCAGTGACCCTCGCAGCCTGTACGCAGCTGGGGACAGACAATCCTTGGGTCCTGCCACAGCTCTCTGGACCCTCCTGTCCATCACGTGTGCACATTTTAGTCGTGTCGTGAAATAAACACTCTGCTGGCAAGTAGAATTGTCTTTATTGCAGGACCCAGGACACTATCAAGGACCTAACACAAGAACCCTTGCTAAGTGGCTCATATCCCAATTTTTCTTGCCGAGAGGGGCCTTACACGCGGGCCCAAGCTGCTACTGGTGCACAACAGATGAGCCACCAGCAGAGACAGGCTTTTGAAATGTTTAAATTACAGACTGTCCTCTCACCTCCGAAGAAAACATCAGCTTCTCCTTAAGAGATACTCAGCGTGTGTGAGGCACACAGGGACAGCTCAGAGGTGTCAGCAGCCCCGATGTCCAGACTCCGGGCACCATGCCCTGTAACCGGCAGCTGGCCAGGCCCGGAGGGGCAGCAGGTACCGGCTCCTTCCTAGAGACGAGACCTGAGTACTGTACAGTGACCAGCATGGAGATTCTGGGAAAGGGAGTCCCAGGGTCAAATTCTTGGCTGTGAGGGCCTGGGATGTCCCCATCTCTGGTGCCAAGGGCCAGGCGGGAGTGAGGGCCCTGCCAGCTGGACTGGTTCAGGGGTCTGCCAAGGGGGGTCTCTGCAGGACATCCCTGTCCAGCATCACTGGGCCGAGCAGCCCGCTGCGGAAGGTGCGGAGGAAGTCTCGGGCTGCCGCGGGGTAGTTGGGCTGGATGACGTTCACATCCCCTGGGGGAGACAAGACAGTCTGGGGAGGAAGGCACCTCTGTGCAGGGCAGACCCAGGATTCAGAGGCACCCCTCCCTGCCCGTCCTCAGGGACTGACGGTGGGTACCTGTGGAGCTTGGGCACCAAGAAAATCCACAGAGTCTGGGCAGTGGCGCCTGACCTCAGGAGGCTTCAGAGGGGTGGGACACAGGGTGTACCCAGAGCGAGGCAGGGCCGCCCTGAGCCGCCTCCTCTGCAGCGCCTCCGTTTCCAGAAAAGCCACATGTGCCCGCAATGTCCTCCCCGCCAGTTGCAGCCCGCCCACAGGCTGGTTCTCCAAGCCCAGCCCGGGGCCGAGGCCTCCACGTCTCACCTGTGCCTGTGAGCACCTTCACCTTCTGCGTCTTCCCCAGCCTCACAGCCACCTGCTTCAGCACCCCGGCTATGTCATCACAGGCTGCGGCCAGGCCGTAGTGCTGCATATACCTACACGCAGACCAACGGTCAGGGAGGGGGAGCCACGGCCAGGACCATGGACCCCACCGGAGCCCATCGCTGCAGCACCCACCCTGCTCCTGAGCAGGCCCGGGGCCTGGAGCCCTCGGTCAGCCCGGCAAGCCACTGGAGACACTCAGGGCCTCTGGGCAGCCGCACGAGGTCAGGGGCGCCAGGAGCACCAGCACTCTCTCCAGTGGAGAAGGAACGAGGTGTGCTTGGCGTTTTGGCAGCCCTAGGACCAGCACACTGAGCACCCACCACTGCTGAGAACTGCCCGGTGGCTCCCGTGAACTCCCTGTCCCACACGACTCCGGCTCTGGGCCTGATGAGAAAGGCCAGCACAGGGCCAGGCATGTCTGACCCTGAAGGGCTGAAGGAGACAAACCTCGTCCACAGACAAGCACCTCCCCGAACCCCGGGAGCCGGGAAACTCCACCCTGGACCGCCTAATGGCAGAAGAAACGGTGGATTTGCCTCACGGTCCACAGTGGAGGGCAGGGCTCAGCCATGGGGAAAGTTAAGACATGGACTCAGCCCCCATGTGGGCATCGGAGTGCCCGTCTCAGAGGGCGTCTGAACGCTGTGAATGCAGGTCCTAAGTCAAACTTCTGAGGGCGGCAGCCCCACGAGGCCCTCTGTCCTGGCGACCTTGAGAACTGTCCCCAGAAGAGCACTCCCACCAACACAGCCAAGAGCTGCCGCCCGCAGGGACTCTAGAAACTCTCTAAAAACATTCTCTAGAAATGCTGCAGGACCGCAGATGCCCAGACTCCCACACAAATGATGCAAAAAAGTAAATTTGAAATTCTACTTCCATGCAAAACAGAATAACAGCAACTGAATTTACCTCCCCTGAAACAACCAAAAACACACAAAAGAACGGTGTCCAAGGCACCAGACATCAAGCCATGAAGAATGTAAACGGGGACCCGCCACTGCCCCGCACGGCACCTCCTGACCCCACAGAGCCCAGGAGGTTGCTGGAGCGGAGACACCACCAGCCGAACCAGAGGCCAGAGCTGCCCAGAGAGAGAATTCTAGAAATCAGCCAACCTCTATATTTAGCAGAGGAGGGCTCAGCACATGTGAGAAAGGAAATTCTCCAAAGCCACAGGCCAGGAGAGAGCCCGAGCAGGGCAGAGGGACCGTGCCCAGCGCTCACACAGAGCCAGGAGCAGGTGGATGGTATACAGGGCAGGGGAGGGCACCGCCCCACTTGGGGCAACAGCTCCAGACCCACAGATCTGGAAGGAACTGTTTCTAGACAATCATCCCAAGCAAAGCTCAAGGATTTGTGCAGGAACCTAAAGATGCCCATCATCCAAAGAGACAAAACTCAAAATGCCCAGCAGCCAAGCAAACATTATCAAGCATGGACAGTGGGGAAACAGACTCACCATGAGGAGAAAATCAGTTAGTAAAACCGCCCCAGATGTTAGGGTTAGCAGAGATGTTAGACCAGTTATTGTAACCATAGTCCACGTGGTTACGAACTGAAGTAGAAACACAGAAGATGTGACACATGCTAGAGACACACACTGATGGGCGTGAGCAGCAGGTCAGACAAACAGGGCTGCAGGCGCGTGGCCAACACGTGGGCAACAAGTCCTAAGGACGGGAGAAGGCAGAAACTGAAAACACAGGAAGAAATCATGTTGACAAAGATACAAATGTAGGAATCCGAAGGGGTGCGTGCACCCCGATGTTTATAGCAGCAATGTCCACAATAGCCAAACTGTGGAAAGAGCCAAGATGTCCATCAACAGATGAATGGATAAGGAAGATGTGGTATATATATACAATGGAATATTATGCAGCCATCAAAAGGAATGAGATCTTGCCATTTGCAATGACGTGGATGGAACTGGAGGGTGTTATGCTGAGCAAAATAAGTCAATCAGAGAAAGACATGTATCATATGACCTCACTGATATGAGGAATTCTTTTTTTTTTTTTAAAGATTTTATTTATTTATTTGAGAAAGAAAGAATGAGAGAAAGCAAGCACATGAGAGGGGGGAGGGTCAGAGGGAGAAGCAGACTCCCTGCCGAGCAGGGAGCCCGATGCGGGACTCGATCCAGGGACTCCAGGATCATGACCTGAGCCGAAGGCAGTCGCTTAACCAACTAAGCCACCCAGGTGCCCTGAGGAATTCTTAATCTCAGGAAACAAACTGAGGGTTGCTGGAGTGGTGGGGGTGGGAGGGATGGGGTGGCTGGGTGATAGACACTGGGGATGGTATGTGCTATGGTGAGCGCTGTGAATTGTCCAAGACTGTTGAATCACAGATCTGTACCTCTGAAACAAATAATGCAATATATGTTAAGAAAAAAAAAAGAAGAAGATAGTAGGAAGGGAAAAATGAAGGGGGGAAAATCGGAGGGGGGGACGAACCATGAGAGATGATGGACTCTGAAAAACAAACTGAGGGTTCTAGAGGGGAGGGGGGTGGGAGGATGGGTTAGCCTGGTGATGGGTATTAAGGAGGGCACGTTCTGCATGGAGCACTGGGTGTTATGCACAAACAGTGAATCGTGGATCACTGCATCAAAAACTAATGATGTAATGTATGGTGACTGACATAATAAAATAAAATTAATTAAAAAAAAAAAAGAAATCATGGTTGAAAATCTGATAAAAGCTACAAAGCCACAGATCTAAGAACTCAACAAACTATAAGCTCAAGAAACATGAAGAAAACCATACAGGGCCCATTGTCATAAATTGCTCAAAAGAACAACGAGAAAATCTTAAAAGCAGCTGGAGGAACAAAGGCAAACATGACTGATTACTCATCAGAAACAAGAGGGGTGAGAACAGGATGGGACAACCTCTTTCCAGTCCTGAAAACAGCTGTCCAGCTACCCTTTCACGCAAAGCACAAATATCATTCCAAAACGAATGTGAAATAAAGACATCTTTGGGGGCGCCTGGGTGGCTCAGATGGTTAAGCGTCTGCCTTCGGCTCGGGTCATGATCCCAGGGTCCTGGGATCGAGTCCCGCATCGGGCTCCCTGCTAGGCAGGGAGCCTGCTTCTCTCCCTCTGCCTCTGTCTCTCTCTCTCTCTCTCTCCGACTTTCATGAATAAATTAAAAAAAAAAAAAAAAGACATCTTTGAACAACCAAAATCTGAAAGAATTCCTCAGCAGCAGACCTGCGCTGCAAGAGACATGACGAGAAATCCTCAGATGGGGGACGCCATGTGGAACCTGGACCTACGAGCAGCAGCCACGAGCAGTGCCCATGAACCACCAAGCAATGGGTACGCAGCTACGCTTTACTTCTTACACTTGAAGTCTCTGTATAAACAAAACACTATAGCTCAGGTTTACAAAACCGTCAACGTAAGACACAGAACAACAGAAGCCCAAAGATCCAGAGCAGAACAGATGCGCCATCGTAAGGAGGTTGCACTGCAGACACGTTATGATGTCACTCAAAGCTGCTCCTCAAACCCCAAGGCACCCTCCTCCAGAAGTTACAGATGACGAGCTGACAGAGGGGACAGAGGGATAGCATAAGAATATCCAATTCATCCAAAAAAGGCCAAAGAGAGAGACAGAGGGACAGAGGGAGGGAGACAGGCAGGCAGATGCAGAGAAAGAGGAAAGAGAACGAGGGACAGACAGAACAAACAGCAAGACAACAAATTTGGGGTTTTTTTAGATTGAACAGTAATCAATGAACTAAAAGACAAAAAAACAACAGAGAAAGTCAATGAAACCGAAAGCTGGTTCTTGGTGGAAATCAGTAAACCTGAACATCTGGTGGGACTGAGGTCCTCAACGCGACACGGGACATCCAGGAAACACCCCGGCGAGAACAAACAGGTGCGTCAATCTATACCACAGAACACCGCGCAGCGGCCATCAGGAAGGAGCAACACGGGCCACGACACGTCACGACATGGGTCACAACACGGGTCACGACACCCGTCATGACACGCGTCACGACACGGAGGAATCTGAGAGCAATCACGTCGAGCGCAGGGAACCCAACAAAAGAGAGCGCACGCCGTGGGACTCCATTCCTAGGACGTTCGAGGACAGGACACAAGGTAGATGGCCACCAGGGTGTGGCATGCGGGTTGGGGGACCATTTGTAAAATAGGAGAAGGAAGGGATAGAGAGGAGTGATCCCCGAAGAGCACAAGAAATTGGGGGGTTTTCTTGACTGTATAAGAGCCAAACATTTCAAACTGCACTGCACATAATGTGCAGAATTTGTCCCATAACACCTTCATGCTGCTATTTTCCTACATGACGTTTGTCTAGGATGAGAGAGAGGACAGCCCGCCCGCCCCCCACCCTGCACTCACCCAAAGAGCTGGTGCCTGTTGAGGGTGTAGAGAAGGTAGTCGGCCAGGGTCTCCTCCCCCACCAGGTGGTCCAGCACGGTTCCTGGAACCAGGAGGCCAGCGTGAGCAGTGGAGACCAGCTCCCGGCTCACCAGAGGCACTGCTGCTCCTGACCACTCTGCCTCGGCTGTAAGCTGGGAGAAGGCAGGCGCACTCCAGGCCGTGGGGGTCCACGGGGTCAGAGCAGTGGCCCACGTCACCGGGAGCGAGGGCTGACAGGCTGCCTGCCATGCTCGCTCAGCACGCTCTGAGGTGTCTGCCACGGCCGGGCCGAGAAAAGTAGGCACAACCCGCCAGGCCCGGCAGCAGGAGGGGGCACTAAGCGGGGGCTCCAACCCACCACACAGGGCCAGCTTCAGGCCCATCTCCACACTTTCGATCCGAGGGGCCAGCACCCCGGGAGTGTCCAGCAGGAACATCAGTGGCCGCTCACACACCTGTGGACAGAGAGGACGGTCGGGCCATCCGCTCCCTCCAGGCGTTCTGCTGGGCAGCCCCTGGAGCCAGGCTGCTAGGTTCCTAAGGCTCTGAGAAGGCCCCAGGGCCCTGTTCCGATGGGTTCGTCCTTTTCAGGAAGCTCGTGGCTTCCCCGCAGGATCAGTTCCCACGGAGTTTGGAGAATAAATCAGAGCAACAGTTTCTCCTCCCAGAGCAAAAAGGGCATGTGTGGATGGGCCGAGCTGAGCCTGGGAGAAGAGGCTACTGTGTGACCTTGGGCAGGTGCCTCGGTTCCCTCATCCATAAAACAGGGGTGAGAGCACGCCCTCCCAGAGGTCTGATGTAAGGGCGCTGTGGTGCCTGGCACGTGGCAAGCACTCAGTGGGAACAGAGTGGAGGAGAAGGCAGGCAGCCCACCCCACAGCCCTCAGGAAGCACCAGGCGTGTGTGCGTGGAACTCTGGACCCAGCAGCCAAGGACCCTACCTGAATTCTGGACATCACAGCTCTGGTGATCCCAGGCTCACCGCCCACTCTGGTAGCTTTTCCTGCAGGATGAAAAGGGGCTGTCGAATGCAGTCAACACACAAAGCCTGGCATACGAGCTATAGGATAAGAAATGAGACACATGGAAACCTACGAAGGCCCACACGAGCTTGTGTTCAGTTCAGCTCCAAACCAGCTCACAGCAGTGACTCTTTTACTAAAACTTGCCTCCCAGTGCCTGGAAAGGGCTCCAAGACCTGCCAAGGGACCGGCAGGCAAGCGCCTGACCGTGAAGGTCCCCACAGAGCTCTTCCTTCAGCACCCCAGCTTCTGCCTCCAGGACTTGACGCCATGCCCCCGACACTGACCCTGCATCCTGCGAGTCTGCCCCCACAGCACTGCCCGTGACAGGCCTGTGAGCTGAGTTCCTGTCCAAGGGGCCGAGTCAACGCAAGAGTAAAGAGATACAGCTGTCTGCCAGTGATGCATGGAAAAGCAAAACGTGGTACAGAGACCCAACAGGGTATTATTCAGCCTTGCAAAGAAGGAAATCTGGACGCAGCCACAGCATGAATGGACCCTGAGACATTACGCTCAGTGAAACAAGTCCAACACGAAAGGACGGACACTCTGTGACTGCACTCATGTGAGGTCCAGACAGAAAGCAGATTAGTGGTGCCCAGCGCTGGTTAGTGTTTGTTTAAAGACTTCCAATTGGAGACAATGGAAAAGTCTAGAAATAGTCTGATGAATACACAGCACTGATTATACTTAATGCCACAATTTTTTTAAAGCCACCATTTTTTTTAAAGCCATAATTAAAAAAAAATAAATTTTAAAAAATAGATGATTTGGCAAGTCTGCAATGAGCACCAAAAACACCATCTGCAAAATAATGGCTGGGCTAGTTCAGTCTGGGGGTCTGTGCACTGGAAGCGGGTTTGTTAACAGACCATACATCGCTGGTGTGGAAAACAAAGCCAACGTGGACCTGGTGCGAAACTTGAAAATACTTAATGGAACAAAGGGTAAAGCACAGCGAGTGAGTAGAGTGGGCATGTCTTCGAGACTCCAAGACGGGGTGAGCACAATCAAGGAGGTGCTCAGGCAGCTCCCGGAAGCCATTCCCGAGCCGGGGGGGATGCAGTTTTCCAGCCGGGCGGCGGGGGGGCCGCCTCACCAAATGCCTCCCACCTGACATCAGGTCTCATCTATGCAGCAGGGCCCTGAGACTTCAATGAGGGAGAAGACAAAACCACCAAAGAGCAGAAAAGTCACCCACATATTAAACATCAACATTTCATATTCAGGAGAGAAAACAAATTCAGTATAAAATGTGTAACAGGATGACTCTGTATCACCGTTTAACCTTACATCAGACAGTTAACTGGGTCCTTTCGGTACAGAGACCACCCCAAGGGCTGTGAGGCTCTGGCTATGGGAATTTTGTCTCGGGACCAGAGGAAGAGTGGTCCCTCTCTTTTCACAGCATGAAAGGCGGTACCTTTCCTGAGGTGCTGTCTCCTGAGCGCGTTGATGAGTGAGGACTTGCCCACATTGGGGATCCCGATCACCATGGCACAGTACTCCAGGTTCTGCCCAGGCACAAGAGCAGGGAGTCAGGGGTCCACCCAGACCACCCAGACCACCCAGAGCCCTGCCCAGAGCCCCACCCATGGCCTCATCTGGCCCATGCTAGGGCCCCCCAAGCCCAGGTCTGTGTTCAGGGGAAGGAAGGTCACTGTGGAGGCCACCCCACCCTTCCTGTGGCGAGAACAAGAGCACACAGGGCAGCTCCATGGGTGGGGGCAGCAGCCCCCTCCCAGGCACCTGTAGCAGCACAGAGAGAACCCCAAGGAGTTCTGCAGCTCAGTCACGGCCCAGCATGGGGACTGCTTGACCGCTGCTTAGCTGCTGAGCCCGGACTCCTCAGGAGGGACCAGCCCACGGGCCGCACTGGGCCCCACAACCAACCTCTCCTCGATGATAGCGGTAACTGCTCTCAACCAGTCCTCTGACCATTGGGATGATCTGCAAAGGACAAAGCACACAGAAATGGCTTCTTCCTGGGCTTCTGGAGGCGGTGTACTCCCGGGTCCAGCATCGGGGAACCAGGACTGTCCACATCAGGATTTAGAATGTGCTGGGGCCCCAAGGGGGGGGCAGTGATCTGTGCCATGTCCTGTCCCTCCACCAGCAGTGAGCAGGTCAGCCCCCCAGAGGGTGACAGCTCTGACTGCAGCCACCTCCTGCCAAGCTGCGGATCAGCCAGTGAAATAATCCTAACGTACAACTGCAGAAAACGCGGCCCCAGCCCTCCAGAAGCTCGTCCCAGCCACGGCCCCGAGTGCACACGACAGCCTGGCATGGCACTGTGCAGTCACAAGCTGTCCGAGCCCACCCGCTCCCGACCAGGACCCCCGCAAGCCCACGGACTGTCTCCGAAACTCTGCTTCTTGTGAGAGCAAGAGATGATCTGTGGGATTTCTTGAGGGTATTTAAGCAAAAGCACTAGAGTGCGAAACAGAGGGACACCTACCTGCTCGATATTCTCATCCCTTACACAGTTGGTGAAAACAACATTTTTTAGGCCTTCTCCTTCTAAGTGTTGTATAATTTTCTGAAAGAGAATATTTCCATTTTATATACTAAATGCAAATATGGGTGGCATGATATGCTAAAATCCAAGAATCTGAGCTTAGAACCCCCACCTCACCCCCGCCACAGGGCCAGGCGTGTTCCCTGGCTCAGAGCCACCGCCGCAGAGCCTGGGAAGAGCCAGGCCGCGGGGGGGCAGGCGGAGCAGGTGCTGAAGAACCGCGGGCCTCGGGCAGAGCGCAGGAGCGCCTGGCCCCCCTGTAAGGGCAGGAGGGAAGTGGCCCGGCCAGGGGCCCATGTACTCCGGGCTCCAGCAGGGAAGAAGGCTCAGCACAGCACCACTTGCCTCTCAGGACTCAGGCCCCTTCGTGTACAAGGAGCCGCTTCCAGCATCAGGCAGTTCTGCTCTCCACTAGTGATCTTGTTACCCAGAGTATTCTGCCTAGCTCCCCTGTAAACTGAGGCTTGAACCCAATCCAATTACAAAGTATGTGTCATGTTTTAAAAGCCCAAAAGTAAACTAAGCCTAATATTAATTTACTGGTCTTAACACTAAACGAATACAGTGTAGGAATCCTGTTTTTTAAAACCAGTAGGAGGGCGCCTGGGTGGCTCAGTTGGTTGGGTGACTGCCTTCGGCTCGGGTCATGATCCTGGAGTCCCTGGATCGAGTCCCGCATCGGGCTCCCTGCTCAGCAGGGGGTCTGCTTCTCCCTCTGACCCTCCTCCCTCTCATGCTGTCTCTCATTCTCTCTCTCTCAAATAAATAAATAAAATCTTAAAAAAATAAAAATTAAAAAAAATAAATAAAACCAGTAGGATATTGTTTGATCAATCATTTGATGCCTAAATGAACAAAAAGTCATTCACTAATTTAGTTTTACTTATGTATTTTAGTTATTCGTTAGATGATGCAGATTAAGACACAGGCCACAACAAAGACATATGTGTATAAATTCACAGTGGATGTTCCAACCCAGCACTCAGAGGTAGACATGAGGAGCCACTGCTGGGGGCTTCTCCAGGACCTCTGCCACAGAAGCACCTGAGAACAGCTCCCAGCCGGGGGAGACGCTGCTGTGTCCCTGTGGTAGGTCATCTTAGTGCCCAGCACTCTACAAAAATTAGCATTTAAGGGCAGAAGCAATCACTGATTAAGACTCAGATCTCAACCAATAAAAGCAAAGCTTGTGATAAATTACTACATCTGCACATGCACTGAGACCCATGAGCACCTAGTTCCTGGAGGACCTGAGCTGCCCGATCTGCACAGCAGGACTCAAAATGACAACAGGTGCCTGCACCTGGCTCAGGGGTCGCTTCTGCTTGGATTCTCAAAAGAACTCCGGTGGCTTCAGTGTTTGATGTTTCCCTGGAAACCTTGACACAGAGGCTTGTGGATGGGGCTTAAGTAATTCAAACATACCACAATCAACTAAGATTGAACAGGCTCCATGTTCAGCATAAAGTCTGCTTCTCCCTCTCCCTCTGCCCCTCCCCACTCCCCCGAACGCTCTCTCTCTCTCTCTCTAAAATAAATAAAATAGGGGCCCCTGGGTGGCTCAGTCAGTGAAGCGTTTGCCTTCAAACAAGCGGATCCCTGGCTCCTGGGATCCAGCCAAGGCATCAGGAGCCTGCTTCTCCCTCTGCCCCTCCTCCCCCAACCCCGCTTGTGATCTCTCTCTCAGATAAATAAATAAAATCTTAAAGGAAAGGGAAGGGAAGAAAAGAGAAAAGAAGGAAAGAATATAAAGCTTTTTTTTTTTTTAAGATTTTATTTATTTGAGAGAGAGAATGAGAGAGAGCATGAGAGGGAGGAGGGTCAGAGAGAGAAGCAGACCCCCCGCCGAGCAGGGAGCCCGACGCGGGACTCGATCCCGGGACTCCAGGATCATGACCCGAGCCGAAGGCAGTCGCCTAACCGACTGAGCCCCCCAAGTGCCCAATGAAACTTTATTTATTATTTTTTATAAAGATTTTATTTATTATTTGACAGAGAGAGAATGAGAGAGAGAGAGCACATGAGAGGGGGGAGGGTCGGAGGGAGAAGCAGACCCCCTGCCGAGCAGGGAGCCTGATGCGGGACTCGATCCCGGGACTCCAGGATCATGACCTGAGCCGAAGGCAGTCACCTAACCGACTGAGCCACCCAGGCGCCCCCGAATATAAAGCTTTTTAAAAACAAGAAAGGAAGCCTAAACTACATTCTGGAAACGAAGAGAAAACTGCGCTAACAGCCTCACAATGGGCTGCACAGGCTCCAGCGCCCGCCCTTTCCGCGGGAAGAACAGAGGGGAGCGCCTGAAAACAGCATGGCCAGACCTCCGTGGTTCTCGAACTTCGGCGACACATGGGGAAACCTGCACTGGGGCACTTGGTCACTCGCGTCCCCCAACCCTGCCTGCTTTGAAGAAGTTCCTTGGGCCCCCCACCCTTCTAGTTTCCACATCACTGGGTGTGCAGGCCTGGCCGGCCAGTGTGGGTGCCTGGGGTAAATGCAGCCAGGTCAGTACCTGTGGCCTGCGCCTGTGGCCACCGGCCTCACACAGCTACCAAAACACAAGTCATCACAATGAAATAAACTGTGAACATCGGCGCTGCAGCCAGAGCCCCACTTCAGTGTTCCCAGCCAGACGGGCCACAGGCCACACAGCCCGGCCATGTCCCATGAGAGAGGCACATCTTGGTCCTTTGGACCATAAATTAATCATTATAAATTAGAGGGAGGCATGTCATTTTGAGAAATCATAGAGGAATACCTCTGCAAACAAAGGGTTGTTTGCCAAAGCAAGACTGCCTGGGTGAATCAACACCGTGTTTGTTTGCAATCCCAGACACAGGAACCCTAAGGGTGACGGCATCTGGGACGGGCACCTTCACCTGCTGCTCTTTCAGATCCGCCAAGTCCATTTTGTTGAGGACCAGCATGTGAGGCTTAAGCCCAAGAGTTTCCTGAAACAGAGGATTGCGGCCTGAAAGTGGAATGTGGCAAAATTAAGGCAAAAACTCCCTCAGTGCTTTACCAGCCCATTAATTTATCTTGTCCATCTTGTTACACAGACTGACACCATCTTCAGAAGGAAATCTTTAGAAGGAACTGAGCAGAGGAGGAAACCCAGTCTCAGCGCAAGTACCTGCCAGCCAGCCCAGCCTCACGCTCCAAGAAGGATGAGACCAACCCCCCGTCCTGCCCTCCCGGCTGGGGAAAAGGACGCCTAGTCGCTGCCGCGTTCCCACTGCAGACACGCAGGGCAGTGGGTCTCACATGCCTTCCCCACCAGGAATGATGGTGGCGAAAACAAAACACAAAGCTCAGTGGAAGGTTTTGTAACTGGTTGTTTGTTTAGCTGCCAAGGTACATAACAAAATGAATGATCTGATCACTCCAAAACAGCACATCCCGTAAAGTCCTAATCAGTCTATCTCAAACCACTGCCCCCCTCTGGTTACCGCCAAAGGGATGAGGGTCCCCATGGAAACCATCCTTGAAAGTTCTGCCTCCTCGCCCTCAGCCAGGGACCCTCGGGGAATCAGGATAGGTCCCACCTCATGGGACCCTAACACAGGCAGGAAGAGAGGCCTATATATTTATCTTCTGAACACTCAGCTCCTACTGAGTCCAGGTGTGAAATTCCCGAGGCCTCCAGCACACCCTGGGTCTAGACACCAGTTAAGGGCTATGCCCTCACCCCACACAAAAGGACTTTCCATAAATCTCACTCTTCCCTCAAGGGTTAACCAATCCTGTGTAATTCAGAATACCAAAAGCCTCAGACTCCCTCCCAGGGCCCCTAACCCAGCCCAGCGTTCCTTGCCAGGTCCTGGAGAAAAAGGCAGAGGTCTAGAAACCAAAAGGACAGATGTCCACTCACTGTGCAGTGAGTAACAATTACAGATTTATGATTTTTGATAACCAAACATATGACTGCCAGCAAACACTTCTGACCAGCATGGGATATCCTATAAATTGACATATTTAGCCTACAGTAAATAAACTTGACACTTTATTACAAAAGTTCCAGAGTCTTTGAAATAGTGAAAATGGTCCCTCATCTGATGTCCTTGAGCTGGTAACAACTCTCAAACCAACACCTTCATCACATAAAGAAAACCCAAACATAGCTCAAAAACAACAGAAACAAGGTCTGAAAGTATATTGATCAGTGAACAAGATCACCAGATCTTGCCAATTCACGCCTCAGGCACAGAGGAAAACGCTGTTGGCCAGCACATTTCAATCAAGCTTGCATAACCCCACCGAGAGAACCCACTGCTGGACTGGACTGGAAGGTCTGGGTGTGCCAGGCAGAGGTCAGAGACAAAGACGCTACCCTATGTACCAATGGGGAGCGTCAAACAGCACAAGGCCTGGACCCCACACCAGAGATGCTGATTAACTGGTCCGGAGAGGGGCCCAGACCAGGATTTTTTTTCTTTTCTTTTTTTTAAAGATTTTATTTATTTATTTGAGAGAGAGAGAGAGCACAAGAGGGGGGAGCGAGAGAGGGAGAAGCAGACTCCCCGCTGAGCAGGGAGCCCGATGCGGGACTCGATCCAGGGACTCCAGGATCATGACCTGAGCCGAAGGCAGTTGCTCAACCAACTGAGCCACCCAGGCGCCCCAGATCAGGATTTTTTAAACCCTCCTGGAGAAACTCTAATGTGCAATGAGAGCTGAGAACCACTGCTTCAAGTGCCAATAACTGAGAGGTGAGGGTACCACCCTCTGTGGCAGCAAACTAGACCAGAGCAGAGGCCAGACACAGGAGGGGCACGGAGACCAGGTAACAGCCAGGAATGCCTCCCACTGCTTGAGCATTGCCCGATTCAGGAATAACGGCCTCCCCTTACCACTAGGATGCCACACCCAATTCCAACAGAGTTGGGAGCGAGAGAGCGCACAACACTAAGCAATTCTGTGACACCACCTGGATGTCCTATAACTTAACTCAATTCTAACACTATCTACATGGAGAAAGAGTCAGATCCCACAGGCTAAGGGCTCAGTCCCACAAGATGCCCCCCCCCCCCCGCCATTAAGGTGCCAATCACAAGTCCAGGCCATCACCTTTGCTTCCGACCCACTAGTTATAGATGGGAGGTTCCCATGACCCCCTCCTTGGATTCAATTAGTTTGTCAGAGTGGCTTCACAAAACTCAGAGAAAATTTTACTTACTAGATTACTGGCTTATTAGAAAATGATATGACTCTGGAATAGCCAGATAGAAGAAACATATAAGGCAATGTATGTGGGATGGAGCACAGAGCCTCCATGCCCTAAATGTGCCACTCTCAGGGCGCCCGGGTGGCTCAGTCAGTTAAGCATCCAACTCTTGATTTCAGCTCAGGTCGTGATCTAAGGGTCGTGAGATCAAGCCCCCCACTGGGCCCACCGCTCAGAGCAAAGTCTGCTTGAGATTCTCTTTCCCTCTGCCCCTCCCTGTCCTGCATTTGCATGTGTGCCACGTCCCCCCATTCTAAATAAATAAATAAATAAAATCTTTTTAAAAAAATAATGTGTCACTCTCCCTGCATATCCACATCTGACAACCCAGAAGTTCTCCAAACCCTGTCTTTTTAGGTCTTTATTGAGGCTTCATTATATAGGCTTGATTTATTAAATCACTGGCCATTGGCAATCAATTGCCACTCCCAAAGGTCAGGGGTGGAACTGCAGGTTCCAATCTCCAATGGCAGGACTGTTTCACCTGGCAACCAGCCCTCAAACCTAGGTGACTTAGTGGGTTTCCAAAAGTCACCTCATCAACAGACACCTTTATCACTCTCATCACTTAAGAAATACCCAGGGTTCCCTGCTCGGCAGGGAGTCTGCTTTGCCCTCTGACCCTATCCCCTCTCATGTGTTCTCTCTCATTCTCTCTCTCTCAAATAAATAAATAAAATCTTTAAAAAAAAAGAAAAAGAAATACCCAGGGTTTTAGGAGCTCTATGCCAGAAACAGGGACAAAGACCAAATATACATATATTTCTTATTATAAATCACAGTATCACAACCACTAAAGGATATCCGGGCATCATGGACCTCGATGATACAGTCCACCAACTTTAGGCTGCTCTGCATCTTCTTCAGCCCTGGAAAACAGAAGGATGCCTAATGGGTCTGTGGCTTTTCAAGAGTGATAGGTTTAAACTGTCACAAACGACACACCACAAACAATCTAAAAAAGAATACATCTGAGTGAAGTGTCCTACGTCACCATAACTGATGACCGTTTGCTGAGTGCCTCTTTCAAATTCAACAGTGGTGTCTCCAAGAAAGAGAAGAGGCCCTGCCTGAGGTGCAGCAGCATGTCTGGGTCCGATCCCCTTGGAGGGCTCTCCGTGGAGTATTTAACCTCTGTAGGTGTTGGTCTCAGCTACAGAACAGCCAACTCGGACTACCCGACTCACCGGGCCCTCCACCCTGTGTATCCACTTCAGCCACTCACCCTTACCCAGGAACCACACACAGAACAAAAGTTACAAGACTCCTCAGGAACGGTGCACCGCTCAGCGCCCCTCACACAGCCACACGGGGGCATTGAGAGCATCCTCCAGCTTCTCCACATCTCCCACCTCCCGTGGGCACGCTGCCACTCCCACGTGCGCAGCACTCGGTCACCGTGCACCCGGTGAGCCAGAGCGCGCGGACGGGGCCGGCCCCCGGGACACCCACGTGCGCAGCACTCGGTCACCGTGCTCCCGGTGAGCCAGAGCGCGCGGACGGGGCCGGCCCCCGGGACACCCACGTGCGCAGCAGCACTCGGTCACCGTGCTCCCGGTGAGCCAGAGCGCGCGGACGGGGCCGGCCCCCGGGACACCCACGTGCGCAGCAGCACTCGGTCACCGTGCTCCCGGTGAGCCAGAGCGCGCGGACGGGGCCGGCCCCCGGGACACCCACGTGCGCAGCAGCACTCGGTCACCGTGCACCGGGTGAACCAGAGCGCGCGGACGGAGCCGGCCCTCGGGACACCCACGTGCGCAGCACTCGGTCACCATGCACCCGGTGAGCCAGAGCGCGCGGACGGGGCCGGCCCCCGGGACACCCACGTGCGCAGCAGCACTCGGTCACCGTGCACCCGGTGAGCCAGAGCGCGCAGACGGGGCCGGCCCCCGGGACACCCACGTGCGCAGCAGCACTCGGTCACCGTGCACCCGGTGAGCCAGAGCGCGCGGACGGGGCCGGCCCCCGGGACACCCACGTGCGCAGCAGCACTCGGTCACCGTGCTCCCGGTGAGCCAGAGCGCGCGGACGGGGCCGGCCCCCGGGACACCCACGTGCGCAGCAGCACTCGGTCACCGTGCACCGGGTGAACCAGAGCGCGCGGACGGGGCCGGCCCCCGGGACACCCACGTGCGCAGCACTCGGTCACCGTGCACCCGGTGAGCCAGAGCGCGCGGACGGGGCCGGCCCCCGGGACACCCACGTGCGCAGCACTCGGTCACCGTGCTCCCGGTGAGCCAGAGCGCGCGGACGGGGCCGGCCCCCGGGACACCCACGTGCGCAGCACTCGGTCACCGTGCACCCGGTGAGCCAGAGCGCGCGGACGGGGCCGGCCCCCGGGACACCCACGTGCGCAGCACTCGGTCACCGTGCTCCCGGTGAGCCAGAGCGCGCGGACGGGGCCGGCCCCCGGGACACCCACGTGCGCAGCACTCGGTCACCGTGCACCCGGTGAGCCAGAGCGCGCGGACGGGGCCGGCCCCCGGGACACCCACGTGCGCAGCACTCGGTCACCGTGCTCCCGGTGAGCCAGAGCGCGCGGACGGGGCCGGCCCCCGGGACACCCACGTGCGCAGCACTCGGTCACCGTGCACCCGGTGAGCCAGAGCGCGCGGACGGGGCCGGCCCCCGGGACACCCACGTGCGCAGCACTCGGTCACCGTGCTCCCGGTGAGCCAGAGCGCGCGGACGGGGCCGGAGCTGGAGCGGCGATCGCCGCACTGAGGGCTGTGCGGCTCCCAGAGGTCTTCCCCAACAAGCTGTTAGGAACAGTAAGGATCTCCCAGGGAGGTTTGGCAGAAGACGGCAATGCCTCCGTGTTTTAAATGTGCTGCAATGACAACACAGCTTGGAAAGTACTTCCCTCCATCTCATTTGGTCCTCAACATAATATTCAGGAAAGCAGCTCTTCGTAGAAACAGATGTGGAAACGGAGGCTTCGTTCGGGAAATAAAGTGGCAGAGGGGGCTTGCCGGGTCTCAGGACCACCCCGGGACACCTCTGCCGCCCGCCCCACGCGCGGTCAACCTGACGAGCGAACGGGTGCTGGGGACGCCGGCGGGTTGGGGGGTGGCGCCGGGAGGGGACACCGGGGACGCCGTGGGGGTGGGGGACTCCGGGGGCGCACACACGGGCATACAGAGACGGCCGCAGCGGGCGGGCGGACCCCGGCCCCTCCCGCCCCCACCTCACCCTTGGCCATGTGTCCCGGGAACCAGCGCGCCACGTCGCGACCGCCCAGGGGGAAGCTCTCTCGCCAGGCGGCCCCGGCGGCGCCGCAGAGCGCGCGCGAGGCCAGCCTCATGGCGCCGTGTCGCCGAGCGCAGCGCGGCGCGGGGGGACCGCCCCGGCAACGGACCTCTCCGCCGGGTCCACCACCCCAGCCCGAGCCCGAGGTTCCGGCGCTCCAGGATACCGCCGGGCGACTCGCGCATGCGCGCTACGCTGCCTTCGGCGACGCAAGGGGCCTGGGGGCGGGGGCGAGGGCGGGGGCCCGGGGGCGGAGCCCGGGGCGGGGCTACGAGCCGACCTCGGACCTGTGCACTTCCGGGACTTCGCGGGGGTCCTAAGTTTATGCGGTATTTCTTTTTTTAAGAAATTAATAGAAATTTAAAAATTTCTAGTTCTTTCTTAAGTGTATTCTGAGTATAAGTGTAACATAACTTGGCAGTCCTCTGCCAATGTTTGACCCCTTTTTACAAATTGGTTAAAATTTTCAAATACTTTGTTTTTTAGAGATTTTATTTATTTATCTGACAGAAAGAGAGACAGGAGAGAGGGAACACAAGTAGGGGGAGTGGGAGAGGGAGAAGCAGGCTTCCCGCGGATCAGGGAGCCAGATGCGGGGCTCGATCCCAGGACCCTGAGATCATGACCTGAGCCGAAGGCAGACTCTTAATGACTGAGCCACCCAGGCACCCCTACAAATTGGTTACAATTTTCAAATACTTTAAATGTAGCCTATATATGTAATATCCCCCTTTTCTTTTTCAAATACTCCAGGTTTTAAACAAAGCCTTTGGAAACATTGACTGCAGTTCTGCTACACTAATCCTATTAATACACTGAGCCGGAATTCCCACTGTCCCCGTACTCTGTGTAAATGTAGCTTTAACTCTGAGTCCAAGCAACTACTCAGTGCACATTGAGTACAGGAGTATTCCTCTAGCGGAATTTTTGAAACAAGCTGCTAAAATTCCAAACACAAAAATGTCACTACTGTGATGGTCTCAAACCCCCCAGTTGTCAGCACTAAGCATTCCAGGGCCCCTGGGAGGTAAGCGCTCCCAGGTGGGATGAGTCAGACACCAGATGAGGACCCAGCCCCTGGCTCCTCCTCAATGAGGAGCCCTCCCACCAAGATGGCAGCACGTGTCCTGCTCGCCTTTGTCACTTGGGATACAAGAAATGTCTCCCCAAGCACGCAGCTTGAAGAAACCTTGTATGTCAACAACACAGATCACTGAGAGAAGTGGCAATCTCTAAAACAAAACCCTGTTGAATTCTGGATTTCTCACAGCTGACTGGCAGGTGTCCCACACAAAACCACTGGAGGGACACGGAGCAGTGGACACACATACAGAACTCTGGAGCGGAGGCAGGGAAGACCTGTTGGAGGGGCCATCTGACCCAGGAGAGGAAGGAAGAGAAGGGCCCATGCAGGGTGTGCTGGGGCCGAGGGCATGTTGGGCACCACTTGGGGTTGGAGAAGAGCCCAGACAGACCTGGCCCCAAGGCCCTTCCACCAAACACACGCTCACCCCTGCAGCCAGGGTCCTCCCCGCCCCTCCAGAGCAGGTCACAGACTGCAGCCTGAGGTACGGGAGAGGCGGGAGCCACTGGCTTCAAGGTGGGTGCAGGGCCAGGAGCCCCACAGCCTGCAGCACGGAGTCCCAGCCTCTGCAGCTCCTGCACCTTCTTCTGAAGTGCCACCCACCAGCAGCACCAGCCTCCCCTCAGGGCCTGTGCTGGGAAGAAGCCCAAGCTCTGCGGTGGCAGCCTTGAGACTGAGCAGTTACTGACCCTGACCTCTAGGCATTTTGTCCCTTCCTCAACTGTGAAAAATCAGCCCTTTGACCCATTCTCTGGGTCACCCATTTGAGGATGCAGCAAGGTAAGATGGGGTCAGCTGAGCAGAGCACCCAGGGAAACCCAACACACTCACCCCAACACTGCCCACTGCACCGACATGCTCCCCACTCACCCTGACACCCCATCTATCCCACCCCTCTGCACTCTTGAGGCCTCATTTTTTATTCCCTTCCTTTAGAAAACCTCTGGCCCCAGGTCAGGATGGGGTGCCCCTGTGTACTCATGTGTCCGCACTCTCTGGCCCTCCCCCAGCCCAACGTACAGTGGGTATCCACTAAAGCATCTGTCGGTGCGGTCCTGAGACCACCAATGAGAGCTCAGGAATGCCTGAAGGTGCCAGTGACAAGGGACAACCACAGCATCCAAAGTCCAGGGAACTCAGGGGATGGGGCACCTGGCCCCGCAATGGCCCAGGCCTGGGGCCTGGCGAAGACAGAAGTGACAGGTGCCGCAGGCCTGAGGTACAAGAACGAGGAGGCAGGGAGGCTTTAACAACTTTATGTGCATGCCCTCAGCAGCAGTGGTGTTGTCCCGTGTCTCATTTCTCCAAGAAGACCTCGCACTCAGCTCAAGCTGGGCCCTGGCCAGACTCAGTGA